CTGAATCTGTTGCTGTGGTGTATGTAAACGGACTAAGATACTTGCATGATTTTGTATTCGTTGGAAACAACTCTATAATTTGGTTGCTCAAGACCTTCGCAGTTCACACTTCAGTTCAACTGGTAATTGAGTGGTTTTTCACCAGTGTGTCTCTGGCGATCGAGACTCGTTATCAGAATGTGGCTGTGATGGCTGTTTGGCGAAGAAGATGGAAAAGACACATATTGTTAGCGCTTGTAAATACATTTCCAATCGCTGTATGGAATAGCTTTTGTCTCTTAGTGTTATTTCGTGCTCGTTATAAGGAAGTCCTTAACCAGCCCTGTAAGATGCCGTTTACTTGAAAACTTTCTCGTATAAATCTTGCTTTTGTTAACGACTTTATAACTTCCGTCTATTAGGATTGATCAAATTTATGTGAGGTGTTACGAAATGCTCATGTCAAGTTTTTCTGACAATCTGGTCATTCTTTAATATCTTGGCGTGATTAAAATGTTAAATTATGTCACTGAATTTTCGGTCTGCGCAGAATTTTTATAAACCTGAGATTGTTAGGGTTCAAAATTGCTTTATGTGCATAGTGATACCGAATCTTTGGTTCATTATAAAGGTCAGTCCTGTGATTTATACCAGACACATGCTAACTTCAGAAGTTTTCAAACTTTTTTTGCAATTTCTTAGAGTCGTTGTTTTTAGGTTTTATCTATACAGAACTATGAAATGTGTAAGATTGTAGAAAGTAGATTAGATATTTTTCTCTGCTATATTGAAATCCGCTTATACGCCTGCGATGGCGCAACATGAATTGTATGTTTAAGAATATTTTGGTTTGTATTTTTTTTTGAGTGATCGGTTAAGCATGAAAAGATAGGAACATCGATAAAAAGATTCGCCAGAGGGAATGAGCGAAGTAAATCACTTATTACGTTAATGTGTTTAAAGCGCCCAGAAAGTAGTTAAGTCGCACCCTTCATGTTCATCAATTTAAGATGTTTGCGTTCTTTTTTTTTGTTTTATCAAGTGGGTACTTTGTATCCTTAGTTTTTGCAATCATACCGTTTAAATAAATATACATAACATTTCGAGCAACTGCCAGTTTCGTCACTGGCAAATATATATATGTTATTTGCCGGCTGGGAGGTCCGTATGGTGAAAAACTGTGACCGAGGTCTTGAAAATACTGCCCGAGGCCGTAGGCCGAGGGCAGCATTTTCAAGACCGAGGTCACAGTTTTTCACCATACGGACCGACCCTTAGCCGGTAAATAACATATTTATTGTTTTTAAACTTGACGAAATTCTTTCCGAAAGAACCCGAATGATTTAGGGCTGTAAATACGGCAAGATCTTCCATAAACTGAACAATTTTTGAGCGAGTAAATGGTAGTTAAAATAGAGGTGATGCAAATTAAAGAGAGATTCCTCAGCGAAACATTTTCATTTCCGTAACGATAAAGGTGATTTAAAAGGCTTCCAAACAAACTTTGAAACATTATTTTTACAAGTATCTGTCACAATCTGACACCTGTCAATTAGAGAGCGCGTAAGAAAAAAAAAAGCATAAGAACATTTGAAAAACAACGGAACTAGTTTGGCAAGGACTGTCACGACAATGTTTTCTTCAAAATCAGTCAACGATCTAACGGAAAGTATTATTCACTCTCATTGACGATTCATTCATGTACGAAGATTTACCTCTGTTCATTAAGTAAACGGCGAGGAAAGTATTTGTGAGTAAATTCAATTTTTTTATTTTGAAGTTGTGAGAGTTTGCTCGTTTGTTTGCTGCAATGGCGTGTGTAAATCTGGTCTTTCCTTCACAAAAACTAAATTCGAACAGCACACTCCAACGAGACACAAGGGAATTTAATGCGACCTTTTCTCGAAAAATTCCTTCAGTTTCTGTTGTGTAATTTACGGTACAAATGTCCAAATTGAACGGAATTGGAAAGACTCACCGGGAGCGTATATTTGTTGTAGAACTTAAATTAAAACTTTGCTCGCTCTTTCACTACTAACAATTTTCTCGAGAAAATTCAGATAATTAATGAAAGTTCCATCGTTCAGTTTAACTGTAACCAAATACCTCACGTTTTAACTTTCTGGGTACTTTTTGTGAATGATTAAAATTAATTGCAGACGGTTTTTAGGCCGCTTGTCAACCAACGTAATGACACTATTGTTTATACAAATTCATTCTGAAACCAATATTTTTCTGTCAACCAAAGTGATTTGAGAGAGAGAAAAGAGAGGATTCATAAGTTATTTATCGGCTTGAGGTAATGACCGACTTGTTTGCTTTAAAATACTGCCCAGCCGGAAAACGAGGTATATTTATGAAAAATGACAACGAAAGTTGGGATGTACTCTGCGACTCACGAAAGCGTTACCGTGGCCCGTGGGCAGAGATAGGAAAATACTGACCGGGTAAAGAACCAATCAGATTGCAGGATTCGTTACCGTGCCCTCTAAAAAAACAATAAGCAGACTTATCGGATATCTTGAAATTGGGCTGGCTGCCTGTCAAAAATGACATGAACTGGAACTTGTGCAAACTCGATTACAAGGTGCTGAATTATGAAAAATGGCCTCCATAACTCCCCTTAGAGGTGCGTGTTCACCAGTGCACTTTGCGATCCTCGTCGGTACTCAATTTGGTCGTACCACAGGTCTCTGGAACTTTTCAAGACTGTGAAGCAGAAGGTTTTAACTAAAAATTTGTCAAAGAATATAAACGCTATTTTTTCTTCACAAGCGAAAGCGGAAATAAACCTACAAGAATGATCAGCCATATTTAGTATGAAAGCTGATCGTTGCTGTTAATGCCATAGCTAGTATTTGCATATAATTATATTAGTTAGTCATAGTCACCTTTTAAATATTTAAGGTAATTCTTAAATAGAAGCCTTAAATAATTTTTATATGTAAAATGCAGTCTGCAGTATTGGCAATTTTGTGATAATGCTCTTTTTTTTAACTAGTTTGTAGTTAGTTTGTAGCATGGAAGAGCCGCCCTTCGATGGATATGTTAATAAACCATTTTATCACATAAACTGCGGTGTTATACAGGGATTTCCGGCCCTGAGAAAAGCCGTAACAACACATATGAAGAAATATCGTATTTTTTCACGTGTGTTGATATAGCCAATCAGCTGCTGACACGTCACTCGCTTTTGGCGCCACTTGGTCAGGTTGATGAATGAACGACAAAGTTTTCACAATTCTCAATACAAGTTGTTTGTTGAAGCTTTCTTGAATTATGGCGGCTAAAACACTAAAAATTCCGTATCGCTGTCAGAAAGCGACGTTCAAACTTTCCTAGTAGGGGAAGAAAACCAATATACTAGAAGAAAAACTGAAAGTTACGAATTCAGTGGCTTTGATGTTGGCATTTCTTTCCGCTAAGAGTGAAAATCGATAACTGGAAGATTTGCCACTGGCCGACTTTGGCCGTTTACCTGAAAGAATTCTTCTGTCGGTAAGGACAAAGTTGATAAATGAGAATTTAGTAAATTAAAAATTACGACCATTGTTGTTTTTGTAATCATGATTCAACGCATTTTTCCATCTTAAGAGTTAGCGCCAACGCACTTTACGATTGTTATTTGGAGATTGTGGATTCATTTATTTTCATTCATTCACGAAGTCGGCTTTTCTTGTCAGGAAAAGGCTATTGTGTTTATATGATAAACAAAATAATATATGGTTGCTTGTAGATATGGAATTTCTCTTCTCGTGTTTCAACTACTGAAATGTACCACCTACAGCTGATGGTGAACTTATTCCCAATTTTCGTAAACAAAACCCCTCTTACAACGTGTAAGCTTTTCCGTCAGAGAAGACTGTAAATAGTAAATCTAAAATGTTGATCAGGTATTTTTAGAGCTCCGTGTGAAAAATAATCTTATTTATTTCGTTCAAACTTGTACTCGAGTGGATCCGTGAACATTTATGAAAACCCCCAATTTTTCCATGCACATGTGTTTTTGGTGAAGTGTAATCCTAACATAGACTGCACAATGAGAGGTGCAAAAATGTTATGCTCGTTACACGTAGACCACATTAGAACTTGCGCATGGTTTTATTTTTAACAGAAAGATACAGCTTACCCCAAGAAACCCACTCATGGTATAAACTTCGCGGCCAGCTCTTATCCACCTTGGCCATATGTTATCCTTACCACACTGAAGCAAATGTACGTTAAGCTGGGGGGGGGGAACTTCCCGGATAACAGGGATATTATGACTCGGATGAAAGAACAGCCGAAAGTCAAGAGCACCATGAAGAAGCTGATACCGTTTGTACAACTCGTCTGCTCTACTACTAGCTTCGTCTGCTATCTGCAACATTTCGCATTTCATTCCGAAAAATAAACAATTGTGATAACTGTTTCATTATATTAAACTTAAAAAGTAATCGAATCTTTCAAAAAGAGCCTTTTCCTTTTTCTTTTTTTTTAATTTAGCGCCTCTCTTTTCTATTAACCCCTGTACTAACTCGCAGCTATTTAGAACGATCTCTTAACTTCGTAGTTATTTCCATGTCGTTTATCTTCCTTTGAGTTTTCATTACAAGATTAATCACGTGACATTATTGTGTGACAGGAATGTGTAGAACGTGACGGTCCGTCAGCCTTGGAGATAACTCTACCGTTTGATGAAAGACAAGTTCTTGAGGAGAACAACGCATTTCTTTCAAAAGCTCTCGATGTAAGATTTAATTTGATGTGTAAAATATCGTTGCGAAACTTTCCTTGTAGTTAAGTTACGGTTTGCTATTTTTTTTTAAATAAACTGTTTTTTTATGTACCACACTAAATATTTACACATACTTTGTTCTAGGAAAATGGTGGCTAAGAACGGCTGAATATATACCTGTTGGGAAATAAAATTATGCTGTTTGGTTTCTCGTTAAAACATTACGTTAGAATGACGCGTGTCTGTTCAAATTGTGACAAAACCACGTCACAAAGTCAAGGCAAAACAGAAAAAAAAGTAATTT